GGAATGTGTTTTTTTTAACAAGAGTCTGAGGGGAATGCTTGTAATCAGTGTTATCGCGAACAGTTAAAAACATACTTTTGAGCAATAAACAGATAATATGCAGACAGAAAAACAAACAAATTATAACAAATATGCACTAACAAACAGAAATTGATGAAAATGTTGACTGATAAAGGCTTACTGTAAGAAGTGAGTGTCTGCGATGCCCGGTGTGGGACAGGCTGTCTCACGATTCGCTTAACGATGGAAGAGGCGGTTGTTTCGGCTACCGATATTTCCCCTGTTTTAGCCGTTTCATATTTCTCTTTAAGTTTGTTATTTTGTTATTCTTCTTTTTTTTTTTTTTAAATTAACACTTAATTGAAAAAAAGTCTTCTGTCTTCACTTTTTTTTCCCTAATAATTAATAAAGTTAAAAAAAACATATAAAAGTAGATTTCTAATCTCACCATTTCTATTTCCTTATCTTTTAGATAAAAAAATTCTTCTCATTAAAACAATAGATACTGAATGGGAATATATTACTTGTAATTTTTTTATTATAATCTTATAATTATTTAATTATAATAAAAAATTATATAAGATTCTATTACTTATAAATATTAAATTCATATAAAATTTTAATAAAATTTAAGCAATTTTAAATTATAATTAATTATTTATACTGTAATTATTGTAAATAAAATATTTTGAACATCTCTCCCAATGGCCAAGACATCCAAACATGAAATAAATAAAAAATAATCCATTTATTCTCACTATATAATTTAAATTTTATATAGATTTTATTTTTTTGGTTTTAGTGAAGATATTTCCTTATCTGCTTATTATATAATATATAGACCAAAAAAAACACAATATTTATTTTGAATCCATGCACAATAATTGAAAATATACTATAATATTCAAAAAAATCAAATCTTAACAATATATATGTGATATTATATATTTGCAATTTACATTGTCAATATTAATAAGGTAAAATTTAACTGTCTAATTATGTAAATATCACATTATTAAATCAAACCCAAACGACGGCGTTATGAATGATAGAACAAGGAAGGGTATGCAAGTGATATTTCTCAAATCGCAAGGACGATTATGGTATTTTGCAAGAAAACACCTATAAAAGGAAAACCTAATCTCTTTTGCTCTCATATTAAGTACTTCACTTTGGTTTTGTTCGTTGCTTTTGTTTCATCAGCCACGCAACCACCGACCCTGCGTTAAGCTTAAACCCTAATCAGAGAGAGAGAGAGAGAGAGAGAGCAGAGGGAATGGCAAGCTACGACTTAACCCCACGAATTGCTCCGAACCTGGATAGGCACTTGGTGTTTCCGCTGCTAGAATTCTTGCAAGAGCAAAAACTACACCCAGATGAGCAGATCCTGAAAGCGAAGATCGAGCTCTTGAACAAGACCAACATGGTTGACTACGCTATGGACATCCACAAGAGCCTTTACCACACCGATGATGTTCCTCAGGACATGGTCGACAGGAGAGCTGAGGTTGTCGCTCGTCTTAAGGCTTTGGAAGATGCCGCCGCTCCTTTGGTCACTTTCTTGCAAAACCCTAATGCTCTTCAGGAATTGCGAGCTGATAAAAATTATAATCTCCAGATGCTCCATGATCGTTACCAGGTCTTCTTTATTATTTTTCTTCCTTAACTTTTCATTAAATTTAGGTTCTTTTTCGATGCCTTTAAAACCCTTTTTGCTCATACTATGTGTTTTCTAAATTAGTTTGAAAATATGTAATTTTTCATAAATAAAAGCAATTTTTTTTTTTTGAATTGACTAAAAAGATTCAAAAAATTTTAAGTGGATTGAATCTCTTTGTTGTAAAATTCATGAAAGATTGTATATTTATTTATTTTAATGTTGGAATTTTTCCTTGACAGATTGGTCCAGATCAGATAGAGGCATTATATCAGTATGCAAAATTCCAGTTTGAGTGTGGCAACTACTCGGGTGCTGCTGACTATCTGTATCATTATAGGGATTTATGCACAAACAGTGAAAGGAGTTTGAGCGCATCGTGGGGAAAGCTGGCAGCCGAGATACTGATGCAAAACTGGGATATTGCTCTTGAAGAGCTTAATCGCTTGAAAGAAATAGTGGATTCTAAGGTTTTTGTTATTCTCCTGATTGATTGATTATATGGTTTTTTAACAATTTACTTCTCCTTGATTCATTGGCTTACTGATTTCTAATGGGTATTTTGTCTTGCTGCAGAGTTTCGCATCACCCTTGAACCAAGTACAGAGTAGAATATGGCTGATGCATTGGAGCCTCTTCATCTTTTTCAACCATGAAAATGGAAGAACACTGATCATTGATCTGTTTAATCAAGACAAGTATGTGACTTTTACAACTGGCCCAAATTTCTTAAATTATCTGCTTATATAGTCTCTTCATTTTCCTACTATTGTTTGTACTCCATCCTTAGATTGAAGATTGTCAATATCCAGACATGGTGTTGCTGATGGCATTATTGTTGTTGTCAGTAACACCATTTGTATCATTTTACTTTGTATAACATTGTCATGTGAATTATAGTGCTTATCTGTTCTTCCTTTGTGCATTGCCTGGTATGGATGACTTACTTTTCTATCAAGCTTCTACTGCTTTAATAGATGCTTCCCTTTAGGATTTCCCTGAAATTAAAAATGTTTAGAAACTTTATTGAATTGCTTCTATAATTTTGTTGGATGGTATTGTTGCTTATATGAGAAGTTACATGCTGCTGCCAATAATTTTCCAAACTTTTTGTCAAAGTTTCAAGGCTAATTGCAATAAAAGTGGGTGAGATGCCTGCTAGACTGCTTGTGGTCGGAATTTCATTGCCTAAGGAAGATAATGGTTGGAATTAGACAGAGCAAGTCTCATTTCGCTTAAATATTTTTAGTTGCACTTTGCATTTTTGTTCTTACATTATTGTTTTCTGTGGATTTACATTTCTGCTTTATCTGTTGTCCAATTTTTGTTTAGTTGCCCTTTCGAAACCTGGTTTCACTTCTTTCCAGATATCTAAATGCCATTCAAACCAGTACTCCCTATCTTTTAAGATATCTAGCCACTGCTTTTATTGTCAACAAAAGGAGAAGACCTCAATTCAAAGATTTTATTAAGGTTATCCAGCAGGAGCAAAGCTCTTACAAAGATCCCATCACAGAATTTTTGGCGTGTGTTTATGTCAACTATAACTTTGATGGAGCACAAAAGAAGATGAGAGAGTGTGAAGAAGTAAGTTTGATTTCTGATATTTTCTACCAACTGATTTTATTAAGCTCTCACATCACACAATTGCTGATATTTCCTACCAAAAGATTGTGCTAAAATGTTATACCTTGAAGTTCACCATCTTTTTGGATGCCTTTAGCAATAGTTAGATTTCTGAATTGCAAGCTTTATGTTTACACCCTGTTATTTATTTAGTTATTTTAATTTTGACGTAGGTGATATTGAATGATCCCTTCCTTGGAAAAAGAGTTGAAGAAGGTAACTTTGCTACTGTACCATTAAGAGATGAGTTCCTTGAGAATGCCCGTCTATTTATCTTCGAAACATACTGTAGAATTCATCAGCGCATTGACATGGGGTAAGTTCCTGCTTTCTCAAACTTATACTTTAGCTTCATATAATAATTGACTCTCAGCAATCTAGAATTCTTATTTATCTTACGAATAAATGACACTGAAAGATTCATTTGAATATTAAATTGCCTTGGCTCAAAGTCAACTGTGCAAGTTGGTTTCCCATAACTCAAACTTATAATTTAGCTTCATGTAATAATTGACTCTCGGGAGTCCAAAATTCTTATTTGTCTTACGAATAAATGGCACTGAAAGACAGATTTAGTGAATATTAAATTTAATTGGGCTGAAAGTCAGGTTTGCAAATTGATTTCGTGTAACTATGGCACTCCGAGTAGGGAAAATTCTTTTGCTAATTGGATGTTGAGAATTTATGAAATTTTAGTAGAAGTTATTAGTTAAATGAAATCAAGCTTTCTCTCTTTAATGCATGTTCATCTGCAAAGCAGGCTTGCATACATAAACCACACAACATGAACACCTTGGTTTGTTAGTGTATCTCTTATTGTAGTGATTACTTGGACATTTGTCACTTTCCATCGGGCATCCAACCCTTTCATGTTAAGCAACATTCTAGTACCCTACATTGAAAGGAAATAACACTTGTGAGATTTGGATAAAGGATTTTTGAGCTTATATATTTTGGTTAGTTTTAGTTGCTTTTCTTAAATTTTGAGCCAACTTTAATGGGTTTTCCCTCTGTCCCAAGGGTGCTTGCTGAGAAGTTGAATTTAAATTATGAGGAAGCTGAGAGATGGATTGTGAATCTTATCCGAAACTCAAAGCTTGATGCCAAGATTGATTCAAAGACAGGAACTGTTATTATGGAGCCTAATCATCCCAATGTGTAAGATTTCCTTATACAGCGATAGCATACATTGTACCATCTGTTCATTCAATTATTCCATAATTGTTTTGTCCCTTTTTTCTCATTTTTCATGTTCACTCTGCATCTTCTTCCATTTTTCAGATTGTGGTCCATCCATAATCCTTTTGTTTATTTTTTTACTCTTCTCTGAATGAATTTTTTTTTTTTACCATATTTCTCCAGTTATGAGCAGTTGATAGACCATACCAAGGCACTCCAAGGGCGAACTTACAAGCTAGTCAGCCAGCTTCTTGAACATGCACAGGCACAGCCTGCTCTATAAATTTTGGTGGTGCAGTTCCTTGGAATTATTTGCAGTTTTGAGCCATCTGCAGATTGTTTCTTTCTTTGAGACCAAATTAGAGTGATACTAGTTTCTGGTTTGCAACAAGACTGGGAAATCAGTAGTTAAAAAAAAAAAGAAAATTATTTTCATGTCGACAAAGCATGCCATTAATTTGTCTAAATTTGCTAAATCTGAGATATATTTTACTCTTTTTTAAGTTATGGCCAAGTCAATTTGTTTAAATGCCTTTTTAAGAGTATAGAAATGATCTGAAGTTGTTAAAATTAAGCAATTTTACATGGCATCGTGCATGTTAAAATTAAGCAATTTTAAGGCAGCTGATTGGAGGTACGGAGGGTAAATAGATTAATTCTTTGATTGTCCTCGTTTGAATGGTTTGGTCTTTAGATATGTCAAGGCTTTAACTTTTCTTTGCATGCACGATGTGGTGCTTTCTGATTAATATGATATTAAATCTGACAAGAACTTTGCCACAAGAATAATTTGAGAAATACAAGAAATTACATATCTGTGAATTTAAAAGTTCAGGCAAGTGGGAAAATATTTATATTCCAACTGAAAAAAAATAAAAAAAAAACCCTTAGCCAAAGACGCGGAGGCCCTTTTTTTTTTCTTTTTTGTTCTTCTAAAAGACCAGAAGCGGCACAAAGTCAGTTTACCCACGCAAATTCCATTGCAAAATGTGAACAAAGAAATTAAAAAAAAAAAAAATCTGAGAAGCTTTTATGCAAAAACAACATTAATTTTGATATTTTCCATAACGAAAAAAGAGTGTAAAAAAAGAATCAGCAAGGGTAAAGCCAATTGAAGACCTAAACATCCAAAATGCGATCACCATGTAATAATAAATCATTCAAAGCCATTACATACGTTGATTCCTATCCGGATTTACCTTCTAACTTGACAGGTTCCTTCATAAATCCTACTATTTTGCAGCTCTTCCCTATATGCAGTGCGAAAAGAAAAAACAAAACTATCATAAAACACCAAGCGAAATCCACCAATTTTAGGCAGACAGAAATCGGGATACAACATGAATTCACAATGGAATGTGTTTCCTCTATTTTCTTCATGACTATAAAACCAATGATCGCTACGTTTTGTACACAGTTTTGAGTTTCAAAAGTCCAAAGCACCCAACAATTCTTTTTCAATAATAAAATTAACTTGGGTACGGCTGCACATGCCCTTTAGAGGAATTATGCATATAAACAGTTGCATCGTATCAAGAGTCAAAACTGCAATATCCTTGCCAGTCTTGTCTTTGTCACTAGATACACTCAATGCAGTAGCATCTGCATAAAGTCATTGATCTTAGAGCCTTGGACCAATTGCTACACTTCTAAAAGGTATCCAGTCTAAAATTGCGTTTACCTGATCATAAAAATGGCAGTCACTTCTCATGGATCCATGGAGGACCTTGTCCTATATAGAAGCTGCTCCTCTTTCTTAATGACGATTGGGGTTACATGGGTATAAAACTTCAGCATAATCCTTCTCTAGGCCTCCCACCATCGAGAATGAGAATTTCTATACTCCTTCGAATTCCCCCGCCAATATCGTCTGCTTGAATTCCTCTCATATTGTGATCTTTCATATGGGTTACTTTTGCTTTCCTTATGAGTTTTTCTGTTTTCCTCTTCAAGATCATATTCTGACCGCTGGTAACAGGAAAATGGTACATTAAAACAAGACAGAACAATAACGAAAATTAGAAGGTATACTGTACAAAAAACTATCCACAAAAGAGTAGCATAGCCCTTCAGCAATGTAAAGGAATCAGCTGGACTCCAAATTCGTGTAACCACAGTATCGATCCCTCACATTAAGTTTACAAGCTTTACCTCAAATCTGCACATTGAACTAGAACCTTTGACACAGAAATATGTACTAGTGCAAGGATCCAATGTAGACAACATTCAAGTCAAAATCATGACCATCAGCTGTCATTTATTCTGATTTGAAGGATTCCCGGTACAATTCAACAAATTCTCCAGCATCTAAATAATGAAACCATCCTACCCAAAATTTCTTTATGGTCATCTAATTTGGGGAATGAAGGCAAAATATTCCTAGTCATTTGTTCTAGAAGTAGATTCTATTGGAGATTTTGTCAGACAAATATTAGAAAAAAAATCTACTGCAAGAAAGTTCAAATCCATTGACAAGCTTGAATCAAATACCCAGTTGTTGGCTGAGGTTTAAGGTCATCGAATAATATGACTGGTACGTAGCACAGCGTATCAGCAATTAGCAAAGCAGAAATAACAAAGCAGTAAGTTGACAATTGCTATGATAGAATGATAAAATTAGAAAGCAATTATGCATAGAAAATCTCAAGTTTCAACAAGATGATAGCAAACCTTAGCAGCATCTGATAGTACTGCATATGCCTCTCCAATAATTTTAAACAGCCTGTCAGCATCCTTGTGAACTTCCTCAGCAATTTCCTTCCAGAGTCGCCCCTCATCTCCACTCTCACTCCGTGCCAAGAATTGACCAGCCTAATTCAACACAAGAAAAGGAAATAGACTGCTATGACAAGCATGCACTAGTAATACAACAGAATTCAATTCAAAAGTATTGCAATGTCAAACCTTGTCTGGGTGATGCCTGAGCGCTGCTTTGCGGTATGCCTTTTTAACATCAGATGTAGAGTCAGATGGTTTAACTCCCCTGTCATTGCAATTAAGGATGGTATTAGAAGACTAAAAATAAAAGTTTTGCATTGACAAGGTTAATATTTGAACAAGTACTATCAAAACAATGATTTCTGCAGGGTCCCATTTTTGCATTAAAGTAGGGCAGAGAAAATACTTGTTCCAGTTTTACTACTCATAAAAGTTCAACAAAAACTCCCATTACATCATCCAGAAGTATGAATTGGTTATTTAACCTTTGTTCTTTTATTTATTTATTTTTTTTTTACTAATGAGTAACCTAAAGGCACAGTTTAAGGTTACCATCTTAAGTATCTTTTTCCAATGCGTCGAAATTATCACAGCAACTATCAACTACTGCACTTAATATAAAAAAATTACCATAAACAATATCTTAACTAACCTTAAAGAATGCCCTTGGGGCACTTGTTAGCGAAACCCTTATTACTATTAATATTTTGGCAATTAATGCATTTATTACCATAACTTGGGATCAAAACTATCACTTGTCTCCAGTCCAGGATAATAATTTCAATGCAGAAGAATTTTACCCAAAGTGAAACATGTTCTTATGTTTTAGGAAGACACTAATTATATGCTGCAAAATAGATTTTCCAATGAAAATGGCAATTTAAACAAAAATTTTGTATAGGGCACGCTATGAAGGAAAATTTTATATTAAGATCACCATCAGTTACATTCTCTGTGACTCCAAGTTGAAAGCATAAACCATTATATATAGAGAATACTTGGCTCCTAGGCTTCAAAAAGAACTTACAAAATGAGGTACAAATCTAAAGGGACACTCCCTTTAGCATCTTCTTGCATAGATGATAACTGACGTTGAGCTAGCCTTAACTCTTTTGAGTTGCCAGTAGATCCATCCTGAGCGGCAGACTGGTGAGATTTTTTATCAGCTTGCTTTTCAAGAATGGAGATAAGTCTTTGAAGATCACTAGATGCTTGCCCATAGTCTCTGATCATCTCATGTAATGTAGCTCTCCTGGAAACTGCCTGCTTAGCAAGCAGGAGCAGCCAATAAGTACAAGATTATGCAGCAATGAAGTTATAAAATCAAACACAAAATTGTAAAGCCTCAAATAAGGAAATGAATAAACTGTTTTCATGTCTATCACATACCCTTACCTTACCATTCAAGCTATAAATTCAGATAAAGTTAAAATTCTGATGTCCATAAGGGACCTAGAATATAGATGTTACACAGGTTAATGAAATGAACAACATACCTCTTAAGCTTTTCCCTATATTCATTTAACAATGCACTCAACACTTTCAGAATCTATCTCAAAGATGCATTCAAGAAACTTTTAAGCTAAAGACAATGTAAGCTACATAATAAGGTAGTAGATTTCGTTTAAGCAAATGCTTGTTTCAATAGCTAGTATTAGACCTACAGATGCACGTGAAGCAGAGTGTGTGGTTTTATCCCATCTGTTTAAAGTTTGTTGTAGACTTATGTTGGAGTTGGGCCTTTTCACCTATTGCCTTTTAGTTGGATGTTTAACATGGTGTTAAAAGCCCAGGTTGCTTCTTGTTTTATAGCACTTTATTTGTTGTCCATGTGCTAGGCCAATTTGTTTCAGTTGTTAGTAGCATACCTAAATGTCACCTGTTAAATGGTGCTATCCATAAGTGTTAAGTTTAGAGTTTGTTGTGGCTTTATATTTAGGTTGCACTTCACCACCTGCTGCCAATTGGTTTTGTGTTTGATGCTTAACAGGTTTATTACTTTTAGATATGTACATCACCTTCTAATGCAGCAACATCAAAGATTTGAAAGGGTTAACATAAAGGAGCTAATATCCTCTTGCACAACTTCAAAAATCATGTTCCCACAGATTATTTTCTGACAAATAATAGATAATGTGTTAACATCATGAAGGCAAAGCCCTCAGAAAAGAAGAATTAAAAGAATATGAAGAAAAGGTTACGGGAATGAAGAAGTACTTAGGATGCAAACCCCACAAGTTTAGCAAGATTTTGGTTTCATTGTTGACTGATGCATGAAAATCAAAGGTAGAACATGCACAGCTTGCAAATAAATAAGAGAGAAATTATGATGAACCAAACTATCTTTTGTAGGGAAAACAAGGGCCAATCACATCTTTGAAGTTAAAATCAGTCGATGCTCAAATGTCACATTGAATAATCATGGTGACCAAGAAATTTCAAATCCTGTTGAATTAAGGGAAAGCCACTATACTAATTCCATGAGAAACTACAAAGTCAGTGGGGTCAAAAACCTTAATCCAAGTATGACAAGTCCATTTATGTCAATATCTTGATTGCATATACTGGAACAGAGAAATGAGCTGGATTATTAAGCAATGGAAAAGGATTGTTCCTCACAAGAATACCCACTTTTAACCCATTAAGCACAATCAATTCAAGATTTAAATATCAACAGAAAAATTGTAATCTTGACAAGAAGATTCCTTAGTATTTTCTGTACCACCACCCCTAAACAATCAATCTTTCAGTTCCAAAATAATCTTATCAATAGGAAGAAGACTGAAATCTCAAAAGCCTAGCAAAATCATTAAAGAAATCTTCCCAATAAGATCCAGATAGATATCGCATAAAGCATTCTTTGATCATATCTATGCAAGCAAAGAGGGAGAGAGGAAGAAAAAAACTGGAGATATGCAAACCTTGGTATAATTTTCATCAAGGGCCATTGCTAGACTGCAATCTGCAATCGCATCGGCAATTTGGCCTAAAGCTTGCTGTGCAGCAGCACGATTGCAAAAGCATATTGCTGCAAAAGGCCGTGATTCAACATTGCTTGATAACGCAATTGTGTAATGCTCTACCGCTTCTGTATACCTAACAGAACGAACTGCTTCATTCCCAGAATTCTGAAATTACAAAAATGGCAAAAGAGACAAATAAAAACAAAAGAATGTGAGTAACTCAGAAGGCAACATTTCAAATTACACACAATCGATTCATCAGAAGAAAAGGAGGGAAATGGTCACAGCAAAATGTGGGTGGATTACAGAAAAGATAAGAGCACTAGGACTCATTTGTTTCACAGAAAATAACTTCCGGAAAATGATTTCTGCATTTCCAAGTGTTTGTTTGGCAGAAAACTAACTAGTCAACGAAAATATGACTTACCGGTCAACGGAAAATGAGGCAATTTTTCTGAAAATTGTCTTCTCCTTTTCAAAAGGGGAAGAAAATTCCAAAAAAAAGCTGTCTATGAGCATAACAACTTATCAATGTATTTGAGCATAATTTTACTCAAGTTGGATCTTATACATGATTTTTTTAAGTTGAAACTTAATTTAACCTAACCCAAAATATTATTATATTAATAAACAGTATTTATTTAATTTTACTTAAAAACTTAAAATCTTAATATTAAAAGTCTTTTATATTTTAATTTTAAATATTCTTATAGTTCTACTCAAGTTAGACTTTGAACGTAATATCATAAGCTCGAACTTAATTTGATTCAACTTAAAATATTATTATATTACTAAAAATATTTTATTTAATTTTAATTAAAAATTAAAATATTAACATCAAAAGTCTTGTGATATTTCAATTTTAAATATTTTTATTTTTTATATTATTAAACATAAATATTTTTAATATTTCAATAATAAATAGTATTCGATTATTATTTTAATAATAAATAATAACATATATAATAATATTTTTATTATTTTAATAATTAATGTTAAATATATACTAATATTATTTTTTAATGTGAATATTTTTAATAATTTCTTATTATTTTTAATTTAAAATATATAATTTTATTTTTATTTGTTTAGGCATTTATATTACTATTTTAATAATAAATATAAATAAAAAATATTTTTATCATTATTTAATAATAGATATTTATAATATAAAATATAAATATTTCATAGTATAAATATTTTAATAATAAATATTACTATTTTAATTAATAAAAATAACATTTTAATAATAGTAATACTATTTTAAATATTTTAAAATATTAATATAAAGAATAATAAATAGTTTTATTTTAAATATTTTTATATTAATATAATATTTTAATATTATATATTATTAAAATATAATTATTCTTGAATATTAATAATTTTAATAATAGATAATTTCAATATGCTTGAATATAAATAATTTTAATATTTTAAGAGTTACTATTAATATTATTTGAAAAAAGAAATAGAGTTTCCACAAAACAACCAAACAACAAAAAATATTTTTCATTAACTCATCCAAACAACAAAAATTTCTACTTTTTCAAAAAATATAAACATTTTCCGGAAAATATTTTTTGAAAGTCAATTTCTGCAAAACAAATTCAGCCTAGATTTATTCCAATTGATCCTTACTCAAACTCATTTTTACAAAATCCCCTTCACCACTATTTGATGAATCCATCATCAACCATAAAATACAATCTTTTGTTTCATAATCCACAAGATTAATAGTTCTTCCACTCTATTTCCTTGGTCATATCAATCATTGAAAACTTATAAATACAAATAACATCAATACAGAAAATATTATATATATATATATATATATATATTTGCTAGGAAACTATTTCAGGGGACTTATCTGTGGAAGGCAGGACAAGGGATTCATTCCCGCAGGCTTGGGCAAAATGGGGTACCATACCATTGAGGCCAAGCCTTAGGGTCAGAAAAATACCATGGATTAGCATTATCTTCATGGCAAAGAACTTGTACTATCCCAGTATTCAAAAGAAAATGAAAGCAATGAACAGCATATTGATGAAGGGCTATATCACATACCTTAAGGCGCAAAAGCTCTCGAATAGTAACAGCCAATGAAACAGACATTTCCAAAATATGGCTTCCATGGCTACAAAATTACAACCAGAATCAGGAATCTTAAAGCATGGTATGAAATGAAGGGCAGGATGCAACAAAGCTCTAGAAATATGTAAATATATCATGTATCAAGAAGATAATGCATTAACTGTCCTTCATAGATCCCACTTGCTCTAGAAATATGTAAATATATCATGTATCAAGAAGATAATGTATTACTTGTCCTTCATAGATCCCACTTGCTCAAGCTTATGAAGTAAATCAAGTGCCTTCTCAAGCTTTCCCATATAGAAGTATGACTTAGACATCAAGTGCCACCTCCACAACATTGCAATAGAATAACATCCAGAACCATCTATGCTTGCTAACTGGTTATCAGTCTCTGCTTTAGGAAAGTTCTGCTCAGCAACATATAGAGATTGCTCACACAACTGAATTGCCTCTTCATACTTCCTCAGCTGCAGCAAGAGGTCAAAAAAGTGCAATTCAAACTTAAATTGTTGCTTATGGCATAAAAATGACATGCTTAAATGAAAAGAATACCGATAAGAAAACCTTAAAGGGGAAAAAAGAAAAGAAGAAACAAAATGTAATTACAAGTTGAAAGAGCACAGACCGTAAAAAGGGCCTCTGCCTTCATTTCAAGCAATTTTTCAGAATATGAACTAATAGACAAGGCCTCAGCAATTGTATCTAATGCACTGGATGCTGCGCTTGATGACTTTTGTTCCAAAAGTATTGCAGAACGATTTGTAAGCTCATTTACTCTCTGCATGTAAAAAAAAAGCACAGAATCAGTTACCAACAACCATATTATCAAGCTTCGGAGAACTCCTGCCCCTAATCCACACCTACATGAAGAAGAAGAAAATACATGTCTTAGTTCTACAAACATCATTTCGCCAATAATCAAGCAGCAAAACAAACCACTAGTAATCTAGTAATCTCAGCCTCGTAGAGCTTAAGTGCTCAACTCAAAGCCTGAGCCACGAGAGGGATTCTTTACAAAAAATTGCTTTATTTTCTTTCAAAATTCAAGTTTTCTGAAATGCAATTTCATTTTGTAAATATTGCTTGATTTTATGTTGAGATTCTTGTTCCTGACCAAGAACATTGGTATTCAAAGCAATGATTTCTCAACCATTTTCTTTTCTTTTTTGGTCTATCTAACAGACAAGTATAGTGGGGATAACAGACATGGATAGGTTTTATAAAAGGAAGGGATAGGAGTTGAGAAAGAGAGAAGCGAGAGAGGAGAATGGGCTGCCATCTGATGCAAGTGACCATATCAGTGGCCATGGCTGCAATTCTTGATTTTCATTTTTTTAGATCTGATGGAGAGGCCTTTTTTAGGTTTCAAGGTTTTAAATTGAGTAGATCTAAAACTGAATATATGGAATGCAAGTTTAGTAATCATTGGGAAGCAGGTACTAGCGTGATTAAGTTGGATGGTGAGGTAATACCAAAAAGTAGCCAGTTTCGATATTTAGGATCAATTATTCAGTGATACTAAGATAGAAGTGGATGTCCAGCATAAGATTCAAGCAGGATGGGCAAGATGGTGAAGTGCATCGAGTCTGTTATGTGATCACAAAATGTCTTTAAAGTTAAAGGTGAAGTTGTATAAAACAACTGTAAGACTTGCATTGCTATATGGAACTAAGTGTTGGGCTGTTAAGAAACAATATGAGAAGAAAATGAACATAGTGGAGATAAGGATGCTTAGATGGATGTGTGGTAAGACTAAAAGAGACAAAATCAGAAATGAGGAGATTTAAGAAAAATTAGAAGTAGTCTAAATCAAGGAAAAGATGAGAGAGGGTCGTTTACGATAGTTTGGACATGTGAAACATAGGCCTAACTATGCACCAGTTAGAAGAATTGAGTCTCTAGATCTAGGAGAGATCAAAACCTCTAGAGGTAGACTACGAAAGATATGAAAGTGTAATAAAAAAGGATATGATTGTTAAGGAATTAGATGAAAAGGTTGTTGTTGATAGAAATGAGTGGCACAAGAAGATTCAAACTACAACCCAACAAGATTCCCTTATTTGGTCTTTTATACAACTAACCAGAGAGTATAAGATATAAGACTTAGTATATTGTTGTTGTTGTTGTTTGTTACTTTCTAGAGAAGAAATGAGAAAAAAAAAAAAACAAATAAGATACATGTCCAAACAAATAAAAAATTCCACATCATCAACTACCCAATAAAAATAACAATGACATTGTTATGTAGGCACAGTCAATGTCATGCCAACAAGTCAACGTCCACATCAGTGATGATAACGATGGTAATTTAACTCTCTTAACAACTGGACCGACATTTGCAGTCCTAAAAAGTAGAGGCACTCGATTTTGTTAAATTATTGTACAGGGACTAGATCTGTATTTCACATGACTAGATGGATGAATTGCACAATTTGAACTTACTTATTTTTGTAGCCTACTTTGCTCAGATTCGAGTGTGAATGTCAGACATGGGTATGCGTCCAATATGAGTGTGTTCAATTATTTCTAAAGTTTTTATTTATATTTGGAGGGTCACACCCCATATGCATTTCTACTTTGACTTAGGTGCTTTAGTAAAAAGCAAGGCCATTGTATACATACACACACATATATATATATATATATATATATATATTTTGTAACATTGAGCGTTACAAGGTGAGTCGATTTCTTTTTGAATCAAGCAGGAGGCTCAGACAAGTCTATTACTCTATTTGTTCTCTATTTATAGGTGTTGATTTGCTCCACTAACCCAATCAAGGACTACTAGACTTTTGTCCCATCAGCTACTTTGATCATGGTTAGTCATTTCACCCTGAAAAAGATCCAGAATAATTTGCTCATGTAGAGAATTTTCAACCATGTATGGGCAAATTAGGCAAAAAAACAGCTAGACAATATTGTAAATTTTCATTCATTGGTACCAAACTGGAATCTTACTGCCCCAAAGGGTGCTATAATTTATTGGCCACAATCTACAGACTACCATAGTTTCATTAACCTGACACTTTTACCAAGTTCTAGACATGTCAATGTTCAAAAATCAAGACATGAGGACACTGATGTAAAGCTTACTAATAAAACATTGACTTTCTCATTTTGATAAACCTTTCATTTCCTATTTCTCTATTTCACTTCCTGCCATCTTATCTCCTGGACCTTATCAAGATAAATTATCGATCTTCCGGCTGTCCAACTTGAAACCAATGGGCAATATGTGAAGAGACCCCTCTTTATATAGTCATTATATGCACTTCGACAGAAAAATTTGTGAATAAGCATTATAGTAACTCATGCACTCCATGACTTATGGGGTCTCGAAGACTTAATATTGCTACCAACCCTAGTAAGCGAGTTGAAAAAGCCCTTTCTCCTTTTTTCTTTTATAATAATAAGGTAAGCTTCATAGCTCCAACCTATACAAGGCCGCCGCTTACTTAATGAGGATGACATCTAGAGCCAAAATATTGCATACCTGAGCCTTCTGGACGCCATCTGCAGCATCTATTGTAATTCGACGATCCAAGCACACATCAGCTCCTGAACCTAAGCACTTAGTGAAATGCCGGACAGCATTTCCAATTTCCCCCAGCAAAAGGTGACAACTGCAAATTGCACACATTGTATTTTAGAATAGCAGCATTCCTGATAGGAAATTAGCGAAACAATTCACCAGCATGTGTAACATTTCTATATATAGAAAAGGCATTCTTTGATGAAAAGGGCAGTCAACCCCTCTCCCTCGAGTGAAATTCTGGACAAGGCATTCTTTGATGAAAAGGGCAGTCAACCCCTTTCCTTTGAGTGAAATTCTTGAGGATTAGGGTAGCTTTAGCAACAACAACCCTCATATAAATAGTTTTTTTCTTATAGTAGTCCATATAAATATTTAAGCATAGAGGATGATAAAAAAATTGTCAATTTCACTGAATATTTGGCCAATGTGAAATTAGTTTTTTTTTAAGGCTAATCTTGTAGTTAACAAACAGAAAAGGTTAAACAGGTTCATCAATAATTAATACAGCTATTTTACCAGAACCAAATTCATCTTCAATTTCATTTCATTTTATTCTATAGCTCCAACAAGAACTGTATGATTTCCAAGTCCAACAAGATGTTTCCAAACATTGAGATAGTAATTGCCGCATATAAAGAAATAATAAAAAATACACCATTAGCCATGAGGGTGCCTAATGCATCCTAAGTAGAACCGCCACTGAATAAGACAATCCAGTTCCAGGAATTCAAAATTGCTGAACAAACTGAATAAATCACAGAGCAAAAACAAATTTCAGGCCTTACTTGGCAGCTCTGACATAAACTTTGAGAAAGTTGGGATCAAGACCAGCAGCCATCAGACAGTCTGCCAAAGCTTCCCTCATCCTTCCAAGAGACATCCGGGTGGCTGCACGGTTGCTATAGCATAGCACAAGAGGCTTGATGGAGCACAATGACGTCTCATTTGAGGGGACAGAGTTGATCCCCTGTGTGTAAAAGTCCTCAGCTTTAGACAGATTATCATTTCTATAAGCTTGATTTCCCCTGATACAAGTTCAAATCATCCCCATATAAATATCAATCCCATATACTCAAAGCAACAGTAATTAACATGAAATCATATCAGCAAAAAATAATCCAAATAACCTATCGTAGACATTATTAAATGTTAATCAGTCATCAAGATACCTGAGTCGCCACATCTCACAGGCTTCCTGGACTGCGGCAGTAGAGGAGTTAGACTCTTGTTTGCATTGTTCATTCTCCTCTTTGCTATGGTATGTAGATTCATCCTTTTGTTCACACTTTACCGGATCACAAGGTGAAAATTGAACAGAGGAAGACCCTCTAACATCTGGGCTAGGAGTTATAATAAATGAAGCATTACCAATTTTCACCTTACTTTTCTTTCGAAGCTGATGCTTTCTAAATGACGAACTACCTTGCCCAGAAGTTGACATTGCAGAAAAGGTGAAATTTCTCTCATCTTCCAAGCCTGAACTAAAGCAAGACTGTGTTGTGTGTTTGTTTTCGTGGGCCCCATTAAGGCCTTCTGCTCCACCAACGTTAGCAGCACCGCTAGTACAGTACCAGTCAGATTTGAAAGTAGTGAAGGCAGTTTCAGCTTCACAAACAGATTCTCTTGAAGGACCATCACCAACAAAAATGCTCTCATGATCATCCCCAAATTTCTCTTCATTTTGCTCACCGCATTTCTGATCACCTTCATTAGAATCAGATCCTTTTTGTGCAGTTGATGTGCATTCAGCTTCAGGCATAGTGAGAATTGATGAATGAAAGGCAGAGGAAATAAAATTATATTCTAAAGGGGAGGCCACTTCTGATGCCTGAGCAGTTTCCTTTGATGATTGATCAGCTGCTGTAGTTTCTTGGTAAGGAGAAAAATCCATGGGTGAATAACATTCAGAGGAGTCTTGATTTTCTTGAGAACTGCTTTCTTTCGGCACATGATGTTGCTTGGAGCAATGCTTGTGCAAATAAGATTTCTTAGACTTTCCTCTCATTTTCTTTAACATTTTCTCCTTAATTAAGCCACTTTTTACGCCAAATTCCAATTTCATATCCACTTCCGGAAACATATTTGCTTTAAAGAAAGAAAGGTCCCATTCGGGTATTTTTAAATCACCGAATGAAATCCCAGATTGATCTAGTGTGCTGGTTGAACAACTTTCATTGTTCCTTTCAGTTCCAACTGATGCTTCGTCAATTACATGACAATTTCCTTGTGAGTTGAGATTGAGCATTGAGCATGCATCAGTCCCATTCAGCTCTACATCATCTTTAGTATGACCTTGAAAAAACATTTTAATGTCAGAAGTCTTATCAATACCTGCCTGAAATGTAAATGGTTCAGAAAAAGAGATTCCAACATTATCTTTGTTACAGCTATTACAGGATACAGCATCATTCACATTACCATTACTGGACTTGTTGTCAGAATGACCACTCTCTGGAGCCTTTTTCAAATGGCTAGAAGCCTTCTCATTGCTACCAAACACAAATATGGTCTCCAAATTCGCTTTTGTATTTGAATCCTCAGTTGTATAAGTACCACCAACATTTTTATCACAACTGATATTTAGTTTCTGTAAATCATGTTCCATTTTAAATATTGAGTTTGCACTAGAAGAACTACCAATATTAATGCTATTTTCAGAAGCATCCTTACGCCAATCATTGCTAGCAGAAACTCCAAAGTTTTCACTGCTTGAATTGATTCCATCTTTGCATTCATTAGGAAACGAATCTTTACTGCTAGTTGCACCAAATACAAAGAAACCATTAGCAAAATCCCCAATCCAGCTCTTGCTTCCATAAGCATTGAAATTAACTGTTGATTCCATATTTTGGGACTCTGATTCACCCTTCATATTCATCTTCCCCAATTCACCAGAAACTGACTGTCCAAAGTTTTTACCAGATTCTCTCCTTTCCAAATTAAATGAGAATGAATTGAGGTGATTAGCACCAAACATAGAACTCGATCCCCCCACAACATTAGTAGGTTCAATCTTATTAGAATCGAAAGTTGACTTCAAATCACTCCGACTAGAGCCAAACACAAAACCAGCATCATTAAAATCTGGCTTTTTGAGAGTCTCACAAAAGTCTCCCTTCCCTGAATCCAAATTTGAGGCTAAATCACTCTTATTCAAACCAGAGGTAAACTCTAAATTACTATCTTTACTACCCTGGGCACCACTCTCCACTTTCATCTCCCCCCTAGAACCATCCAAACTCACTCCAAAATCACAGGATTCTCCCTTTCCCGGATTCAATTTCGCCCCTCCATCACTCCCATTAGCACCAAGCACAAAACCAAACTTCCCACACTTTTCAGAACCCAATTTCTCCATGTCACAACGCAAATCTGTTTCAAATACAAAATCCGCCTTCTCAAACTCTCTAAAAGGCTTCTCATTTCCACTCTCAACCTTTACATTTCCACTAGATTCTCTATCACTTCCATGATTAGCACCAAATACAAACCTTAAATTATTACTATTATCATTATTATTATTTATATTATCATTGTTCACTATATTCAAACTATCCAAAAAGCCAGATGATGATAGATTACCACTATTGTTTATCCGACCCGATTCCTGACCAGATTGCTTAAACGGGTTGAAGCCAGACCCCACCTCGCTCTGCCCGGTTCTCACCTTCCCATTCAACTGCTTCCTCTTAACCAGCCTCGGCCGGGGCCGAACTGATGCAGCCGACTTTGGATGCTTGCTGCTCCAGGAAGAAAAGTCGAACCCGCAATCGAACTCCCGTCCATTGCCGAAAGTCGAGGAAATTGGAGCAGAAGAAGAAGAGGAAGAGGTCGATGAAGAAGAATTCATATGGGAATGGTTTGTTTGAGGAAATGCAGTGAAATTTTTGGGTGTAGCGTTAGGGTTTTGGGGCGCCGAGTAGGGTTTAGCATTGGAAGAGAAAGTATCCATTGATCGGATCTCGACTGTGGACGGCGACATTTAAAAGCAAGATTGAAATTGTTATATTGATGGATTTTTGGGGTTTTGGTTTGTAAATTTTACTTTAAAAAAAAAAAATCTTGCGGTAGGGTTTTACACTTTACATAGTTTTGAAGTAAAGACGAAGAAGAGTGTGAAGTTCAAAAAATATTGAAATTTGGTATATCTTTTAAATTTTCAAAATCTGCCTTCCACGACTAATTAATTAATTTGCGCAAATAAAAAAGTAATAATTTGATTGGGTTATTTTATTTACTTGTTGATAAAAAATGATTTTGTTATATTGTATTTGAATATTAAAATTTTGATTTAATTATTTTTATTGTATGTAAATAAATTTATAAATTTTTATTTTGTGGTAAGTAAAATCATAAATTTTTAAAATTATATAAAACATCTAATTGAATTAATGAGACTAAAGTTATTTATATAATATATTTTATATTTTATATAACATAACGACACGTAAAATAACATATATATAAATTGATAACATGTTATTTAAAATAAAAAATAATTAATTAATTAATATAAAATTTTATTATCATCATATATGAAATAGATATAATAAATTATTGTGTTTTTGTGATTTAGATTTATTTAAAAGATATTTTAAATTAAAATTTTGTATTTTTACATTTACTTGAAAACGTATAATTTATATTTGTTTTTTTTAGATTATAATTTATCATACTATTATTTATTGTTCAAATGAAGAGTATTAGCTAATTTATTAATTTCAAGACTTAAAATGTTAAGATTAATTTTTTTTATTAAAATTAATTAAAATAAGAGAGAACATGCAATAAAATTCATATAAAGTATAAAAATTAAAGACAAATATCTTTTATTATATCAACATCGTGTCAACTTATTTTTACTTTTGTATTTTATAAAAAAGATTATATCATGAAAAATAAAGTACATGATTGTAAATACTAATATCAAAATTTTAAATTTGTTTAATATCATTTTTTTAAATAAAATAAATTTTTAATTTTTTATATATCTATGTCAAAAGTGAGAAAAATGAAATAAGTTATATATTTATTTTAGCATATAAGGTTATTTTAAGATTTATTTATTACTACTTTTTATAAAATTAAATCTCTTTAATTTTATCCTCTAAAAAAATTAGCTATCTTTTATTTCATTTAAAATGAAAATCTATTAGGGAAAATCTAAATGTACCCCCTTTTTTTCTCTATACTCCATTTTTTTATAATTTTTTAAATAAAATTATTTAAATACCTTTCTTACAAGTGTTTGAATAAAATTACAAAAAATTACTTTCACAAGTGAAAGGAATGAAGCTTTTGAAAAATTATCAAAAATAATTTTGTTAGAATTTTTATGAATTAATGTAATGAAAAAATTATTATTAAAAAATCATAAATTTTAAAATTAATAAAAAGTTACTTTTATTATTTTGATTTTAAAAATAAATTCTTATAAGATCCTAATTAAATGTTTCATATGATAAAAGAATTATCAATCTGATTAATACATAAAAATTAAAAACTATTTAAAATTGTATAAATAATATTACTAAATATTACACAATTTTATCAAAACTTAATATGCTAATTGAAAAAACCCATCTTAATAAGTAGATGAAGAGATTCTTTTTCAAAAACTTTAGTTTAGTTAAAACTATTATAAAATTTTAATAATTGATAAAAATAATTTATTAAAAAATAATAATTTTAAATTTATAAAAAATTATATATACTATTTTATCTTTAATTTAATTAAAATATCATAAGATTTTATTATTTCTCTAGGAACCAAATAATAAATGTAAATTTTTTATTCATTTTAAAATTTATGATTTTTCATTACTAATTCATAAAAATTTTAATAATTTTTTTTGTAAGTTTTTTAGAAAATTTCTGTCCTTGCACTTTTGAAAATGTATTTTTTATAAGTGTTATAATTTTTTTTAACTTTTTTAAAAATGTATTTTATAAAAGTATTATGACTTTTTCAAATATAATTGAATATAAATATGCGAACAATTGTAAGAAAGATATTTAAATAAATTTATTTTAAAAAATAAAAAAAATGATAGAGAGAGAAAAAATGTGAGATGCATTTAATCACTCTCAAATTATTATAAATAATAATTTTTAAAAATAAAAAAAAATCTTTTGAAAATGAAAAAGATTAGGCTTTGGATTTTGGAAGATGGGTGGCACACGGCAGTATACCCAATCATTGTCGACCAGCATTTTTCAAAAGCTAATAATTGTAAATAAGAATATAAATAATATATTAATATTTATGATCGAATCAAATTTAAATTAAATTTTATTATTATTAAATTAAATTTAAAGTCAAGTAATTTAATTTATTAATTAAATTAAATTTAAATATTTTTATATTTAACTCAAATTATTTGTAAGTCTAATCGAATTTTTATATTTTAATTATTTTAATTGATAAAATATTTATAACTCGAGTTTAAGTTTGAGTTTGAGCACAAATAATTAAATTTTTATTAAATATAAGAATCAAATTTATTTTTAAATATTAATTGAGCTTAATCGAATAAATTCGAATAATTCGATTTTTATTTTAAATCAAGTTTGAACTAAAAAAATAAAACTCGATTAAATTTGAATCGAATTTCAAACATCTAATTTAGAAACGTCAATTGATAGGGTATAAATAGTGTAAAATATTTTTTTTATTTTTTAAATTTTATATTAAATTTAATTTTTATTTATATTTAAAAAATATTTTAAATTTATTTTTATTTTTATCATTGTAAATATTTAATGAATATGAATAATTTTTATACCTATAATTTTTTATTAAAAAAAGTAAAAATTAAAATTTTTTTATTTTTATCTTTTATATTTAAATAATTTTTTATGAATATATATTAATATATATTTTCTTAATAAAAATATATTAATTTTAATTAATCTAAAATAATAATTTATATTATTTAATAAAAATTTATATATTAAATATGTATAAATATATATAAGGTACGAATATAAAATAAATACTATATTATCTATTTTTATTTTTGTACTTAATAAAATTTTAAAATTATTCTATCTCCGTTATCGTAGAGATATACCCTTCGCATCCTCGTTCAAATAAAAAATGGGTTTCTCTAATGCTACACGTCTCACAGTTTTTAACTTAAAACAAACTCCAGCCAAAGCCACAGGCGGCAAGGCAAAACCACTCAACTTTCTGTGAAACTTCAAAGTTCTACCCTTCTCTCGATCAGGTTGCCACTTGCCACCTTTTCTCTTTAGCAATATTTTTTTGTCTGGAGATAGTTTTTGCTTTTATATTTTGTTTTAACATTCATGAATTGGTGGTTTTTGTAGCTTTGGAATGTGTTTTGGGAATTTTACAGTAATCGAAGCGATGAATGAAAATGGGTTTTTGCTGTTTTTGTTGTTTTAGCAAATGGGTATGAACCTGGGGAGTAGTTAGGCGATCAGGACACTGAGGCCAGCATTAGAAATTAAAGAACAGTTGCCAATACACTTGTTATTGACACTGAACATTAGTGGAAATGAACAAGGAAAGAAATTTACCAAAATGTTGTATTTGATGCTTTCTTTAACAATGCATGGTGTTGCTTATGCGATTTTTTTGCTCAAATATTTTCCACTCTTTTGCTCAAATATTTTCCGTAATTGTTGAGGTCACGTACTCCATAGTCATGAATTATATTCGAAGTTTCAATTGGTGCATTTTGCAGTCTTGTTCCTTCTTTTCATCAGTGGCTTATCTCCTCAGTGCCTATCCCATACATTCTTTTCCCATCTATATGTGTTCCTAAGTACTTTTAGTGAATTCTGTAACTATCAGTTTTATAATTTGGTGCACTTGCCTTGTTCTTTCAACAAAAAGTACTTATTCACTCTTCATTGTTGACCAATTGTCATTTTTACCTCAAAACTGGTTCAGCTTTTAATTTTTATCAGCTCTTAGTAGCCAAACGATCATTTGTTTGGCGAAAATGATCATTTATTTTGTGAAATGGCACATTTCTTTTCATTTACTATCATTGACATGCTCCATAAGCACTTACATTTTATATATCTCCTACTGTTCTTGACATAATTGTTCTTTTCTTTTGATTAATGATCTTTAAAGCAATCTTTAGAATTACTTTGTGAAATCCAGACAGGCAAACCTTGTCATTTAAGCCATACATAACATATGATTTAGTTCTGTTACTAGAGAAAAAGAGAGATCAAGGGGCTGGGCAGAGGATAAATTTTACCTGATTCTTAGCTTTCTTTTCCACTGCATTGTGAAATTTTAATGTCAATTGACTAAAGATTCTTTTTCATGCCATGCAATTATATTACACTGATGTCATTAAGTGTTATTTTCTACATATTATATCATTGTTGTTCTATAAATTTGCTTTCTATTGCACAAAAGAGAAACTCTGTACTCTGTCAAATTTGCACAAAATTGCAAAGCAGGATGGAACATGAATCAATTGAAGTCTCACATGGTACTTTCACCTGTTTTACCAGAAATTCAGTAATTCTCCTTGGCTAACTATGTTTTGCAATCCTACACATCCCTGTGACTTTTTCTACTTTATGATGCTAGTTTTGTAGTGTTTGCACTTGCACTTGCCCAGAATCCGTTTAAGTATCCAGTAGTGTGTTCTCTGTGTTGCATCTTTTCCATGGGATAGGAGTTCTGATAAAGGGGCTCAAACTTTTGAGGTCATGATCGGAGATAAAATTTTCCTCTCGAAGTGCTGTTATACTAAAGGATTGGATGTAAGTGAAAATCATTTCTATAGAAACCAGTCTTTATACTATAACATATACAGATAGCTTCCACAACCCAGCTTGTGTTCTCAAGAAAAAAAATACAACAACACGCTACTGAATGTAAAAGTGGGATCATTGAAAATTAGGACTTAGGCATTCCTATGATATAGAATTATTGATACATGATTACCTTTCCTACACTTCTAGAGAAGGCACATTACATCCCAATGATGGCCATTGCCTTAGTGAAAGTATTGTCATTATGGGTTTAGTGTTCAGTTTCCCTGTTGTGTGGCAGTTACTGTTCAACTTACGAAACTGAGTATTAGGCAAGGGAATTATGTGGTTGAGTATATGCATCTATGTGTAGGAGCTCTGTTATTATCAATTTCTACCATCTTTCCTAATATAAATCAGTAGTAAAATTAGTACCCATAAAAACCAGGTTGTAAAACATTTTTGAAATTATTTTTATAGAAGCAGAACATGCTATGGGTAGATGTAAATTGCAATTGAGTTGAAAAGGGTGACTTGATTGTTCTGGACTACATTTTGTCCATGGTCAGAAGAGAATTTGCATCTACATGTAGGAGGCCTCTTATTATCAAGTTCCACCATTATTACTAGCATAGGTTAGCTTGTAGAACATTTTTGAAGGTAGATAAGCTTGTAGAACATTGTTGAAGTTATATTCAGATAAGCATAAAATGCAAGGGTGGATGTATACTGGAATTGAGTTGAAAAGGGCATACTTGGTTGTTTTGTACAGGGTTTTGTTTGTAGTCAGAGGAAAAAACTTTATGGAAGAATGTCTTGGATGAGACTCTCTTTCATTTGTATGTGGCTGCTTTGGGTTGGTTGCATAAGAGTTCCAAATTAACATTACTCTAATTTGTGAAGAAATATGACGTAAGTCACATCATGCAATGACAAGGATAAATGAAAGGGCATATTTTTCCATGGAAGGTGTATGGGCATTTCATAGAAACTACATGAAATATTGATGCATACAGTATTATTATAGGATTTTGATTTTTCTTGCTTCTCCATATTATTTTTAATTAATGAGCAGCTATGATTATTGCTCTGCATCTACTATGGAGGTTTTAGTTGGGTTCTTGAAGGAGTTTGATGACATTGTATTTTTGCTTCCATAGATGAAGCTTTTGACAAATTTATTTGCACTGTGAATTTGTGTTTTATAAAATTAGACTTTTCTTATTCCATTGCTTTTCCAATTTATATGCATTATATGGTTATGCTTGCAATCCTTCTGAAGCTTAATTTTACAGAAAAAGATAAAGACAGAAAGAGGAATGAAGCAACTGAATCCACTAATTCTGAGGTTTCTGTGGAAGATGCTTCTAAAGCAGTTTCAAGTTCTCCAATAAATGACATGCAGATTAACGCTATTGCTAGGAATGGTGGGGGAATAGATAGCAAAACTTTGGAAAATGTGCAAACCTCTGGAGAAATAAACATGGAGGTTTCTGTAACAGTTGAGGATGTTATTCGGGCTGGGGGCTTTGGAGCTAGGGATGACATAAGTAGTTTTCTTCCCATTGCAAGTGACTGGACTGACCTTGAATCTTCAATTCGCGATGCCAAAAACTATGAAGGACCTCAGAGAGACGTATGCAGGCCAGGTCTTGGCTGGAGAGAAGCATCAGAAAGGGAATAGCTCTGTTTTCATTACCACATACGTGAGTTGTTGATTCAAAGTTTCTGGTCTTTCTTTCTTGTTACGCGTTTTCATTTTCACACAATAGATTCTGTATGGTTTGCATTTGTTTACTTAGTGAATTTTGTCAGAGTTAGCATTCTCTGGTACCTTGAAGCAAGGATAATTTTGTTAGAGGTAGCATTCTGTGGTATCTTGAAGCAAGACAGGATGACACTCCTTGTGCATGAATATATCAGGACATTATGTATGGCTCTGTATAACATGCTTAAAATGCCCTTTGTGAGGCTATTTATAAGTTCTTTGTACAAGGCAATTTTGTGATCTCTGAATATTTCAATTTATTGACAAAATTGTCTGATAACTAACCGCTTTCCTATCTTGCTGAGGAGTGTTGTTGCTGCTGAATAACAAGTGGAAATTTTGATTGGCCATACTTTATAGGTTTAGGCAGAATGCTCTGTATGACTTTAGTGCCCTCTGTTTAATATATGGCCTCGGCGAGAGGTAAGGTTATGAGATCGATATTGCCTGTTGGAAGATTCTCTGTCCAGGAGCAAGGATCGCCAAAGGGTCATATGCAGATTTTCTCTGTACAAAAGTTTCCCACTGAGGACCGAAATGATCTTGCCACTCGTTTTGGCTGCTGTAATGGGGCAAATATTGCTTTGCTCCAAGCTGCGCCTTGGCACAGAAATCAAGAATGCGTTGGTTTTGGGTCATGATATGTTCTAAGCCATCTGTTCCTGTGGATGATGGGAGTGCAGATGATAGGAATGCGACCAGGTAGATTATATCTTCCTCTGGGGTAACCATGGATGTTCTATTGTTCCACCTGCAATATAGATAATGTATCAGTTTGAGAATATGGCATCTAAGAATTGTAAATGACAATTAGATAGATTTTTTTTATTAAGTACTTGGCCTTGTTGACTGGATAAATGAGGATAGGACCGTTACTGTTGTCTTTAACAATATTGCCAAAGACCTCTTGAGCAAAGTCGAAAATTCTGCTTTTGGGTATAAGAAGATTCAGCCATGGATGAGGAACTTCCCATAATCCTTTTGATCTGAGTTTCATCTCAGACGTGTGCACTCTATTGAGGAATTCCACATAAGAAACTTTGGATAGAAAGAGTGTTGATGGGATATAGTTTAATTCTGACAATAACTTCTCAATATTCTGCAATATGCATGGTAGTTAGTTCCATTGAATGGATTAAACATAAGGAGTGATGCTTGAGTATGCTACAACGTGTCAGTGTCAAATTTTACCTGGTTCAAACTATCCGTCTCCTCTGGATTGAAGTATTTAGCCATTTCTAGACAGTAAAGAATTTTCCCATCTGAACTGAACTGGCTTGCTTGAATTGGGTCTTTGGGATTGAAGGAGGATCTCCAGTTGTTGAGGAGACCAGTTCTGTTTATTATAACAAACCCTTCGATGTAGTCAAATGAATTCTCGGATGATATTAAATGCTCTTGGTCATTGGAAAATGTAGAGAATTCAGAGTAAAGAACCCTGATCCATTTCACCTGTCAACAATGATATATCATGTTTGAGGGGGTAATTTATGGTGGCAGAAGCCATGTGTGTTTGAGAACCACAGTTAAGAAGAAAGTTCTCTTTCTCTTACCATCTTGTCTGCTGGTCCAAGAGATATTCTAGCCCTGGTGATGATTCCAAATTGCCCTAGTCCCCCAAGAACACCATAAAAGAGGTCCGCATTCTTCTTATCTGAACAGGTGATGACTTCTCCTCTTCCTGCATCCAAAGTCCAGGTTAGATTCCATTGTTCCCATATTAGTTTTCTATCTTCAAGTTGAACAAAAGAGGTTGACTGTATTCATTTTATTGAAACAGTATGTTCCTTCTACTGTTTGATTTAAGTAAGCTAGAACCAGATCTTAAGGGGTACAGACGTCATTTCCCCTAAAAATCCTCTCTGACTAAATGACTAAGCTGTTATTTCGGCCAACCCTGTACAAAATTGTCTGCAGGAGTTTACGAAAAGTTGTTTGCTTAAACGTACCTGTTACAACCTCTAGTTGATAAACGTTATTTATTTGGGGTCCGTGCCGGAATGCCTGACCACTTATTCCGGCATTTGATAAAGTACCTCCGACAGTCAGGTGAAGGTAGTCCGTCCAAGACTTGGGTGAAAGTCCATATTTAAGAGTCTCATGCAGGATGTTAATCCACAACTCACCGCCTGAAACATCCACATAAGGTACCTCACCAGTTATAACATACATGCTGGGTCGTTCAAGTGATTCCATGTTGATAACCACACCCTGATAGGCTTGTGCCTGACCTTGAAGGGAGTGACCACGGCCTCTAGCTGCAACTGTTAACTTTGGTGCAGAACCCATATCCAAGATGTGTTTTATTGTGGAAGAAATATCAGAAACTGATTTGGGGTGTAGAACTGCTATCGGGAGGTAGTGGTATGTGTTACCGAAGTCTTTGGCGGCATGTTCGAGGTTCTCAAAATTGAAGTAGCCATCAAGAGTAAGTGTTTTCAAAGACAACACAAGACTGGAGGAGTCTGAATGAGGTGGAATCTTTGGGGTGTCGAAAAAGTGGTTAGAACAGAGGTTGGTTCTTCGAGGGATACAACTTAACACCAGAATCATGAAAAATCGAAGTAACATAACGTTGTTTTGTTTGAGAAAGCCACTAGCCGGTGACCCCATCTCTTGATGATATGTATGTGAGTATCTGTTTTTGTATTGTGTGTGTGTATGTGTGTGTGTGTGTGTGTGTGTGTGTGTGTGAGAGAGAGAGAGAGAGAGAGAGAGAAAGAGAGAGATTTTCTTGATGATCTGTAGGTAAAAGCTAAAGGAAGGTATAGAAGAGCCCAAGGAAATGAAAGGCAAGGGAGAATTTAAAGAGGAAGGTATGGGTGGTATAGTCAAACAGAGTCACAAATTCCTTCTGGTTTCCTTTTTGGTTTCTATAAAAAGTTGAGATGGAAAAAAAAAGTTAGAAAAGAAAGTGGAGATTTCACATATCCTTGGTACATTCTCCCCACAGTTACAACTTACTACCACATAGTCTGCCTTTTCTCTTACAGCCTCTTTTGAATATGCTATTAACACTTAAAGCAATGATAACTGTCTATACAAAGACCATTCACGGTGTCGACATTCTGCTTCATGGTTTGTAATTATACGCCTGTCTTGTTTCTCTTGACTATGTCTGAGCTGCGGTTTCTTTTTTTTATGCATGCACTGTTGTTGTCTGACTATACTAAAAATAGGATTTCCGGTATCGACAGGCCGGCCCCTACTAGGTTTTATCCTGTCAGAGGTGGTGAAGGAGGTGGGGGAGTGGCCGTCGTGGGTCCCTAAGCACATGAACTTCTTGAGGGTGCGTTTGTGGGGGAACTTGGTATAGCTCCTTCGCTCCGCTCTGATACAACAGAGGCGGGCTAGGGCTAAGGCTACATGAAATTTGCCACTGAAAAATAGTCTGATGGGAACATATGCACATATAATTTCACGCAAATTTGAGATTGAATTGAAGCTCATAATGGAAAATTCAACGATGTAATTGGCTGAGGTGCTATTGGTTGTTGTCCTGAAAAAGTAATTTTTTCTATGGACATTCTATCAGCTTAAATTATATTCTCTATTCAAAGGGGACGTTTAATTTAAAAAATCTTAAATTTTAGGAAAAAGTATAATTTTTGATAAAACGTGATACTCGAGAAAATTTTTTTTATTATTTTAAGAGTATTTTGTGTTCAAATTCATTTGTTTGATTGAAAAAAATTCATGTATATTAATTTTTAAATAATTATCATAATCGTATTGATGTATATGATGGTAAATTTTTAATTAATTTTTATTAATAATAAATACTCAAATGACAAATTATGTCTTTAGCAGTAAAAAAAATAAATATTTTTATTTATAAAATATCATTAATAAAAAAGTATTGAAGATTATTTAAGTCATTTCTGGTTATGAAATATTTTAAATAATTTTTTTTATTATTTTAAAGAAGATTATTTAAAGTGTTTTTTAACCAAAAAGTTTTAAATAATTTTTAATATTTTTTAAAAAATAAATGAGATTATTGAAGACGTTTCTAAATTAAAAACATTTTAAGTAATTTTTTTTATTTTTTAAAGCGTATTATTTAAAGCAATTCTAGATAAAAAAAAAAAGTCTTAAATAATGTTCTTTAAAAAAATAAAAAGATTATTTAAAGTGTTTCTAGACAAAAACGAATTAAATAATGCATTTAAAAAATTTTTGTGGTATTATTTACGACTTTTTTTTGGATAAAAAATACTTTAAATAATTCTCTTTAAAAAATTAAAAGAAATTATTTAAGACGTTTTTATTCAAAAATATCTTAAATAGTCTCTTTTAAAAAATTAGGAAATTATTTATACAGAAACAACTTAAATAATCTATTTGTAAAATATAAAATGATTATTTAAAGTATTTTTTTAATACAAAAACGTTTTAATTAATCTTTTTATAAAAATATTAACCTTAAACAATAAATCTTAAAATATAAAAAAATTATTTAAAGCGTTTTCTGTATAAAAACATCTTAAATAATCTATTTATAAAAACAAAAAATGATTATTTAAAGTATTTTTTTATGCTGAACGCCTTAATTGTAACATAAAAAAAAAAATTATTCAAAAACTTATAACTTAGTTCTGATACATATTTTTTAAAAGGATAATGATTATTTCATAATTTTTTATTCACATCAATTTTAAAAATAAAACAAATTTTCTCTTTGGAATCCTAAAATAACACATAAAAAGGTGACTTTATAATTTCAAGACTTTTGGGTACAATTAAAAATATGTCATTTTCTCTCATAATCAAATTATCTTGAATCAAATGTGAAAATTAACTACCCATTATCAAGATTTTAGAAAAAAATTTATGAATTTTGCCGAACCAAATATCACATAAAACTTAGTATCCAACAAATATAAATTTAAATCTTCAACATATGTGATCCTTTCCATTATTCTTTCCACTATCCTTAAAACTACTGCTTTCTTTGTACCAAAAAAATTAAATTCCCTATTTCACTTCTTACGGAATATCACATGATAAAAAATTTTCATTTTATCTGGTCATAATCTACCGAGAAATCGAGTATAGGGGTCGGGGCGTGCCTGATTCAAGTCAAGTGTAAAAGAAGAAAAGAGGAAGAGTGGAAAGTTTTATAATGCATTGCCTTTTCTGCCAAAACAAACTACTATTTAGGAAATTATTACTCCATTTACTCTTATCTTTCAATTAAATTGTGGATTATACTTGATAATAAAGCACCAGCAGCTCTTTTGGAAAACCATTCGGATGTCACAAATTTCTTTTTTCATTATTATAATATTATTTATTTACTCATATCAATTGTTGGTCTGTCTTTTGACTTGTATATTGTGTGTTTGATAATTGCCTTGTCACAATTATTGGGGTCAGTGATGAATAATTTACTCTGAAATCTCACCCCAACCCCATAGGAAAGAAATGGAGTGTATATTGTGGAATATTCATTGCTGTGCTGCGCCCAAAAGCCTTTGCTTTAGGCTTTAGCAACATGTCTAACCTCAATTTGCATAATTCTACCAAACACAATTGATCCCATTGCCATTGTTATCATGTTCATATGTTTTCAATTACTTTAATATTTTATTACAAAACAATTGTCTTTAAGAAATGTAATCAAGAATTAGTCATTGTCCACGAAAAGTTGGAACTGTAGCTTATCTTTTGGAATGAATGGTGATATGGGATTTGTGTTAATGACATACACAATATATTGGCAGATAAGGATATTGTGTTTCCACTCATTTGCTGTTTTTCTTGCCGTAGAAAAGCAATGGAATACGCAATTGCTGGAGCTTTTATTTCCCTTCAAAAACATTTAATTTCTTTTATATAGTCACTTCCCAAAAGTGCATTGATATGCTCTTAATTATATACCAAACAAATTCTTGCAACTATTCGTGGAGCAGAATTTATACGTCAATGACTGGAAGCTCAGCATCATGAGGTCCCATCGGTGAAGACTTTTGGAATTGGGAATTGCAGCAAATTTACGAGCAGACTTATGTTAAGTTTTTAACCATGAAATTCCTAAAAATTTTAAATAAAAATGGGTAAAAAAATTAAAATTTTTTAATAGTTTTTTTGGTACAATATATGGCAATTAGTTTATATTTTAGTACGGTCAAAATGCAAAGGCTAACTCAAACCAAGTGGATCAACCCACCTGCTGAAACACAAATATATCTGAAAATCAAGTCAGTAAATATAGATAAACTTGAACAACTAAAAGGAAAATCAAATTTGAAATCTCACAAGATTTCGTCCAATTATTATATCTATTAACGTAGTACGTAGTGCATGTATATTTACCAAAATTAATTCACATATATATTGCTGCGGTTATTAGATACAAAACCTCTCTTCTCTTAGATTTTTTTTCTTAAAATAATTCGATTTTATTATAAGTTTAAACGAAGAATTAATGTTTTTGAGTTGTAATTCAATTAATCATTTTTTTTTTTTGAAATTTAAGCTTTTGGGAGGTAACATAGAAATAATTGTATATTCATCGCCACCCATTTTTTAAAAAGGAAAAAAAAAAAAAAAAGGAACCATGACCAAATTTTGGCACTCATGATCTTGTGCCCCAGTTTTCACTTTCAAATCTGCTATCATGAATTGTTTCTATGATGCTTACTGAGAAGTTGAAAATGGGGGAGAAATGGTTCTTCCTTCCTGTCTTTTTCAAATTTTTTTTCCCTGACAAAAGGGTTGAATTTTTTTCACGAGTGCTGCATTTTGAAACTACATATTTTTGTTTTTCCCTTTGTATTTTCTTTTTTATTTTACCTTTTTTGTGATTAAATTTTAAGAAATTTGCGGTATTAAAACGCAAATATTGAGAATTACTTCGTAAATCACTACAAACAATTATTTTCATTGAGAAGTAATTTATCAATTGATTTTTTTTTTTTTACTAAAAGTCTTAATAAAGAATACAAAACGTTGCTTTTATATCCTTTTCCAAGATTTTCTTTGCACTATTTTTTTTTAATGAGCTTACATAAATTCCTTTCAATATTAGAAGAAAATATTAACTTAAAAGAAATATCCATTTGTTGTGAGCTTCATTTCACTTCATTTGAAAGTCTCCCTTTTGATCGAAATTGCCTAGCTAGGAATGTGGCATCCTTATAGATTATAGCTATAGGTTTATAATAAGGCAATTCCATGCATATTCTTTCCCTACTGTACGAAATATCTAGTAGAGGCCTAGGGCTGTGCATTTTTCTTTTGTTTGGTTTTTTAATCCGGGAAGTTATAGCGCAAGCTCCCCTTTCGTGAGCTGCCCGTAATTAAGGTTCTGGCCGGTTACAACTGTCTTCATTCTCTGTATAACAAAAAAACAATGTTTTTAATAAATAAATATAAACAACATAATATTAAGTGATAATTCAATTTTGTGTTATATAATAAATAAATCGTGTAATTATAACTAAAGGTTCGAGTAATATAATTTTTATTATTTAGAATAACAAATGTAACTAATTTGATATAAAAATAAAAGTATAACAAAAAGTAGTAATATTTCTTTTTATTATCTAGAATAACAAATTAAAGTAATAAAGAATAAATAAATGTAACAATAAAAAATTTAATAATATTACTTTTATTACATCAAATAAAATATTATATAATTTGACAACCAATAATTGTTAAAGTAATAAAATTTAGCAACGATACGATAAATTAAGTAATTAGATGACAAATAAATGTAGAGATATCATAATATAATACGTATTACTTCTTGTTACATTAAATAAAAACAAATATTTTAATAACAAATACATGTAAAAGTAATAAAATCTAATATTATTAGCTTTTTATTACATAACATAAAAAAGTAATTCAATGATATAAAATAATAATATATATTAATGATGGAGTTTTTTTTTTAATTTCACATAGAATTTAAAGGGATTATTACTTGCATTATATCGTTGATAAAGTTTTTAAACGTTATCAATACAAGTAATACGACGATTATATGCAATTCTTCTAATTAGTAACATGCATAATTCAGACTAATTAGTTTATGAATGATATCTTGTTTTAATGATCTATTTCTTTTTAATTAATTTATAGTTTTTCTTTTTATTTTTAACGAAATTAATAAGTATATAATAAATTTTAGTTAAAATAAATTTTGTCCTTCCCCCCAACCAGTTATCCGGCTTATATCCGGTACTACACTAGTGACGTGGTATGATATGGATCATGCCACATCAGAACCTAATTCGTGATGGGAGAAGCGTACCGTTAGGCGCTGACTAAAAAAATCAAATCAGAGATTGAATTAAGGGTGCTACAATTTTCAGTTCGATCGGTCAGTTCAATCTCAATCTTATTTTTTGAAAAAAGTATGATTTTGTTTTTAGATATATATATATATATATATATTTATAATTGTTCTGAGATTTATATTAAATATGGTGTGAACTTATAAAAAAAATATGATTAAATACTTAAATTTTTAACTAACAATTAAAAAGTTAATTAAAAGGTTAAGAGTTTAAATCTTGTTACTTACAAAAAATGTTTAAAAATA